TCAGGAATATTGGGGCTTCCTTTCCAGCAGCCTACCTCAGTGAGTCATGACAGATTGTAATCACCTGCTTAATGATAAAAAATAAGGGGAGGCAATGGCCTAGTGGTATTATCGCTGGACTGTTAATCCAGCGACCCAGGTAATGACCTGGGGACCTGGGTTTGAATTCCGCCACAGCAGATGGTGGAATTTAAATTCAATGATGACCATGAATCCATTGCCAATTGTCAGAAAAACCCATCTGGATCACTAATGTCCTTTAGAGAAGGAAATCGCCATCTTTACTGGTCTGGCCTACTTGGGACTCCAGACCCACAGCAATGTGGTTGACTCATTACTGCCCTCTGGGCAATTAGGGATGGGCAATAAATGCTGGCCTAGCCAGCAACGCCCTCATCCCGTGAATGAATAAAGAAAAAAAAATGGAAACTGAATCCCTTGTGGCTCAAGGTCAAAGCTTCAGAGGAACTTGGAAGAGGTTTGGCCCCGAGACATATAGTGTGCCGACATGTGAATATGGTATTCATGAACCAAACTCCCAGATTTGGGCAAATATCTTCAGTGTTGTATGCATATCTCAGGAGAATTAGTGGATGAAGGACTAAACCTTGCCAAAAAATCTGTGATGCTGGGGACTATGGAAGAGGCTGAGATGGATCACTCACTCAGCACTTGTATGCAGGTTAGGTTGGTTAGCCACGGTAAAAACCCTATTACTGATGATGGGTATATTTATGGAGCTTCCCTTGAGCCTCTGGAAATTCAGCCCCTTGTGCCTGTTCTGCCACTCAATAAGATCATGGCTGATTGTAATCTCAAATCCACTTTCCCAACTACCACTGATAACCTTTCACACCCCTGCTTAACAATGACCTATCTAACTCAAGGACTTTGCTTCCACTACCTTTTTTAGCAGGAGAGTTTTAAAGGCACTCAACCCTCAGAAAACAAGTTGGCTAATCTCTTTTTAAATGAGTAACCCCCAATATTTGAGTCTTTCACAAGAGGAACCACCTAACCTGTAAAATTGCTTCAGAATTTTATATCTTTTAATCTAAAATAATTTTAAACAGTAATTCTCTTACTCTTCTAAACTCCAATGAATACAAGTCTAGTCTGTTTAAATTTTCGTCATAAGACACCCCAGCCATTCCAGCCTTAGTCTCGCGAACCCTCTCTGAACAGTTTCTGACACATTTACATTCTTCTGTAAGTAAAGTGGCCAACAGACAAATGTCTAAATTCACAACAAATGATTCTCAAATATATTATTGGACAAAAACATTCTTTCTGTAATGAATTTATTTCATTTACTTTCTGCTTTAATCTAGTTTAATTAGATTTATATTTTTTATTATATGATTTCTCCTAATCATCTCTACATCCTATGACTACTAGCAGGTTCTGATGATATATTTGAAAGGTAATTAGGCTTATCTAAAAAGGAAAAATGTGCAAGATACAAGAAGAAAGGAGAATGGCATTATGCGAAACATAACTTCAGAGGGCCAACACAGACACAATGTGACCAATGACTTCCTTCTGTGATCTCCTTCACTCTCAAGATTAGAATCTACACCTATAACTATCTATGCAATGTTTGTTAATACTCTGAACATTTCGCGATCAGTGGCAAAGGCAACATTTGTAAAACCAGTCTGCATTTTCATTGTTTGTTGAAAGATTAAATATTTCATGTGATGATCTTGTTTATTTCTTGAGCCAAAATAAAGAGACTTTCTGCTGATTTGACTTGGCACTTCTTTTCAAGAAATGTTTTGATTTTGTTATTGTTCATGTACAAAGAACATTCCGGTGGCTCACTTAAGGGTGGCAATCAGGATTTACCATTTGCTCAAAACATTCTTTCCACATTGTTGCACCACAATATTCACATACCTCTCACTTACCACTAATATCATATTCTAAGTCTGACTCATTATTATGATGAGAATCATAGATGAAAGCTATGACTTATCCTTCTTACATTCTGTCACTCTCTTAAAAACTTCTTGTTTCTTGCTGTTGACTCTTTGTTTTCTCTTTCTCTGTATACTGTCTGCCATTTTCTCAACAAAGTAATATTGTGTAGTGTCTCAGAAGATAACATGAAACAAATAATCTATGATGAAAATCAAACATATTAAGAAAGAAAATCCAGGCTGCTGATGCAAATTTGTCAAATTCTTTCTTGGAATGTACGGTTAAGGTTGGTTAAATAATGCCTGAGTTTAAGATGTCAGCAGGAACACATTATACTACAGGCCACATGGGATCTCCTGCCAGAGGACGAAAGCACTGCACATCACTTCATGTTATGCCCCTAGGCAAAATGTAGTAACATTATTAACTGCAGATTTCACCACATTACTATGTGGTGCTTTATCATACCATTTGCCTTGAGAAAACTGGACACTGACACTTCTCAACATGGAAGTCAGAACAAGAACCTGATGACATCAGCTCACCAACTTGTTCCAAAGGACCTCACCTGGATTCTGGCAATTATCATTCCAATGCTGCAGCTGGGACATGGACCCATGGACTAAGCAAGGCTGCATGTCCTGACTGTTTGTTTGCTCTCTTCGTGCTCACTCACTTTGTCTTTTCTTTTTGCACCTTGCCCCTCAGCCAGAGATGTCAGGATCACAGTACCGCGATATTGTCCCGCTTTTTAGCACAGTTGCAAAGCCATGAATCTTTTCACAGCTGTCAGCTTTCTTCAGCCAAGTCAAAGGAAATATAGACTTTGGTGAGAGAGTCCTGGCACAGTAAGTCAATAGCAGACTCTGATATCAGTCCAAGAGTTTGGACTTACAGTCAGTAAGCCGCTCAGTCAGGTCAGACAGCTCACACTGTTTTTCATTCTTTCTGCCCTGCTGTAGACTGCTTTCTTCTTGGAATGTGAGAGAGACCACTATTAATGGAGATGAAAGTGGGTGGCACAGGTGTAACCACTGATGCACATGGGGAAATGTCCCAAGCGAGTGAATAGGCAGCGCAGACGTTAGTGCTTTGATGGTTGAGATGGGTGATAGACAGTGAGGGAAAATTTTGCAGGCAAAATTTTGTGGCAGCACATGTACCTTGGCAGGAGGTTTGTGCAGTAGCACCAATAGAGTCAATGTGGGGTATCGCAAAAAGATTACATTGGCAACAATGAGAAGGTCATTGACACTCTTCTCTCATCATACCACTTTTTCTTCCAGATGGCTGAGACTGCACTGACCCAGGACGGCATGGTCTAGTGTCATGGATTCCACCATTGGCAGAAGAGGACTTCTCATCTCTGCAGCACCCTGTACACCTTCAAAGAGGGGTGTCAATCTCCAAGCCTGTCATGTCTGGAGAAAATGCTCGGAACTGCAGTCAGTCAGCTCAGGCCTGAAGGTGCTTGTCTGGGTGCACAAATGCCTTTTAAAGATGGCTTCAATACCAAGGAAACTGGTCCATTCCAGATAGAATGGTGACAGAATCGGACTGGAGGGGAATGATAGGGATGGGCGAGGTAGTTAGCAAGGCATGTTTGGTAAGCTGTGGTGAGAAAATTTGCTCAGCTTTGCGGAGAGAAAGCCTCCTTGATAACCAATGAAACTGATACTTACCTATAGGAAAAATGAGATTCATCCCATTGTATCCCAAGGCTTACATAATATATTTCCTCATCATGCTCATTTTAATTGACCAGGTTTCAGGTAGACTGGTCTTTTTTAAAATCAGGAGGAAAGCATATTAACTAACTGATCTTAAAGTAATTTGCAAACTAACTTTGCTCAGTTCACCAGTGATGATGTTTGGAAGGCTTTGATAGATATGCTTGAAAGAGAAACTTTAAACATATTATTTTGCTTAAAAGGCTCTCATTCTTTTTGAAGAAAAAAAGGGAAAAAAGTTTTTTTTCTAAGCTTAGGGTAAAAAAAAAATTACAATCAGTACGATAATACCTGGCAGAAGTTTATACCATTATACTTTGGAAGAGTTTAAGCACTATCCACTAATGTTAAAAATCTTACTGTTTGTTTATTTACACTGCATGGCCGACTAATATCACAATTTTCTTATTAATCTGTCATCCAAACTTCCTGTTATAATCGAAAACATGAACAGAGCATCACCATTGCATAATCTGGCTACTTGCTCCTACAACAGCTGAGGATAATTGCTAATTCTTTTTCCAACTGTCAATTTTCCTTCAGTATCTGAAATTTATAATGATTGAAAGAAATAAATAAAAACAGCACAAGTTAATCAAACATATTTTCTGGACTACATAGAAAACCCAGCATTCTTCCCTTTCAGACTGTTCCATTATACCCAGAACATACAACATCTCTGATCACTTTGATGGGGGGGAAAAGGCTTCATTAATTCAGAAATAAACATGGAAAGTGCTAGAGAAACTCAGCGTATCTGGCAGTGTCTGTGGAGAGAGAAACAGACTTTATGCTACACGTTCAATATGACTCTGTTACAATCTCAAAAGTCATACTGGACTCAACACGTTAACTCTGCTTCTCTCTCTACAGATGCTGTTTGATCCAAGTTTCCCCAGCACTTCATTTTTAGTTCAGATTTCCAGTGTTCACAATTACTTGCTTTTGTTTCCACTAATTTAGGATGGGTTGAGGAAGGCAAAGCCTTGGGGAACATGCTGAGTAAATGTCAATATCCTGCCTGGTAGGGTTAATGGAACGCTTCATCAGGGGTTCAAAGTCACAATCCCTAGCGATATTAATAACACTGCTAACGAACATTCTATATCAGCAATTATCAAATAAGATTCTCACATATAAAACTGATATATTAAAATATTCTCTCAATAAAATGGGGCAGCACTTAGATTGCACGATATTCACTTTCAGGTTAACTTTCCCTTCATAGTAACTCAACATCAGATCACATCACATTTAGAAAATATGTCTTTTTCTGCTCATACGGAGTTAATAAGAAATAGTAAACTCCAATTAAAGCATGTAAATTTAGAGAATAAAATGGAGTACCTTGCTCTGTTAGATTCCCTTGTCATGTCCCATGCCCAAGTGATAAAATTTTGACTGAGGTAGGAGACAATAGATTCAGCACACAGCAGTTGGGAACAGAACACATTTGTAAGAACACTGTCATCATGATGGAGGTAGATGGCAAGCAGCTTTCTCTGATTAAGAAAAAAAGCACAGATTAGTGATTTCAAAACTGTGAATACTTTACTCTTCTATGTAACATCCTTCATTATACAGAACACGCTGCTTAGAACTCCTTCATTTACACAAACCCTAGAATGCAATCGCTGTAATGGAAATTTTCACATAACTCCCAGATGGTCCCATATTATACAGGAAGCTTTATACATTTTATCCTTACAAACTAATGCAGATAAAGTCTCATAATTCTCAAAAATAATGGAGCATAGATAAATAAAGCACATTTTGGCTATTCACAACACAACTTTTCTTTCCAAATTAAAGTTTGTGCAATTAATTTTAATGTTCTAACAGTTCTATAATTTCTATACCTTGGAATTTTATATATTCAACATAAATTTCTCAAAGGAGGTACAGCATTTAAGCATTTGCTCCCTTGAAGTGTGTTGGTTCTTAGGCTGTGATAAAGCAAACAGATATTTTGATTTATTTTATGCAGTGAAGGGCTTTGTTCAATTTCTGATGCTAATGGGACATTAATTTTTCATTTTATTATGGAATGGCGAGAAATGTATAATTTGTTTGCCAAGAAATGTTGTGCTTAAATTTGGATTGTGCTTGGATCAAGATCTTTATGAGCTGCAGACAAAAGCTGTTAATTAGCAAATCTTTACATCATAAACTGTTTAAATGATTCATTTATTAATTTAATGTCAACAAAAACAGAAAACAACGCGAATTTTACTCAAAATAGATCTGACTTCTAACATATGCTGCAGTCTCCAGATAAAATCTGGCAAGCAAGTGGATGTGCTAAAATTATACTATAAACTGTATGAAATGAACAGCATATAATTTCTTTGATTCAGAATTGTGCACCACTACTCAGATAATATACCATACATAAGAACATAAGAAACCGGAGTAGAGAAGGCAATTCAACCCCTCATATTTGCCCTGCCATTCAACAAGATCACATCTGATTTTCCCAGGCTCAACTCCTCTTTCAAGCAGCTCATTATAGTCCTGAACTCTGAATTTTCAAAAGTCTCTTTAGATACTTTCAATGATCTAGCCTCCACAACTCTCTTATGTAGACTTTCACCACTATCTGGGAGAAGAAATTCCTACACATCTCAGTTTCAAATGAGTGGCCCTTTATCCCGTAACTATGTTCCCGCGTTTGAAACTCCCCCATTGATGGAAACATCTTCCCAAATATCTACTTGGTTAAGCCCTCTCAAAAACCTGGATGTTTTAATGAGATCACCTCTCAAATTCTTCTAAACTCTGATGAATGGAGGTCTCATTAGTGTAGGCTCCTACATAAGAATATAAGAAATAGGAGTAGGGATGGGTAATTCAGCCCTTGAGCCTGTTCTGCCATATAATACAGGGCTGATCTCATCTCAGCCTCAACTCCACTTTCCTGCCTGCATTCCACAACCCTTCAATCCATCACTAATGAAAAATCTGTCTCCCTCTACCTTAAACTTACTCAATGCCGTGGTATCCACCACACTCTGGGGTGGTGAATTCCAAATTCACGACCCTTTGACAGAAGTAGTTCCTCCTCATCTGTGCTTTAAATCTGCTACCAGGGATGTTCGCAGATGATTCCACAAATTTGAGCACCATTTGCAACTCCTCAGAATACGGAAGCAGTCCATGTTTAATGCAACAAGATCTGGACACTATCCAGGCTTGGGCTGACAGATGACAAGTAACGTTTGCACCGCACAAATGTTACGCACTGACAATCTCCAGTAAGAGACAATCTAAACACAGTCCCTTGACATTCAATGGTGTTACCATCACTGAATCCTCCACCATCAACATTCTGAGGGATACCATTGACCAGAAACTCAACTGAACTCGCTTTATAAACAAAGTGGCTACAAGGGCAGTTCAGAGGCTAGGACTCCAACAGCGAGTTACTCACCTCCTGGTTCTCCAAAGCCTGTCTATCATCTCCAGGGTACAAGTCAGGAGTGTGATGGAATACTCTTCACTTGCCTGGATGACTGCAGCTTGAATAACACTCGAAGCTTGACACCATCCAGGACAAAGCAGCACACTTGACTGTTACCACATTCACAAACATCCACTCCCTCCACCACCAACACTCAAAAGCAGCAGCATGTACCATCTACAAGGTGCACTGCAGAAATTCACCAAAGATCCTCAGACAGCGCCTTCCAAATACACAATCACTTCCATCTCGAAGGACAAGGTCAGCAGACACATAGGAACACCACGACCTGCAAGTTCCCCTCCAAGCCACTCACCATCCTGACATGGAAATATATCATCGTTCCTTCACTGTCATTGGGTCAAAATCCTGGAATTCTCTCCCTAACGGCATTGTGGGTCAACCCACAGCAGGTGGCTGCAGCAGCTCAAGAAAACAACTCACTACCACCGTCTCAAGGACAACTAGGGGCGGGCAACAAACACTGGTCAGCCAGCAACACCCCTGTACCATGGATGAATAACTAAAAACTTGGTCTCCCTCATATTAAGGTCCGGGCAGGCTTTTCCCTCTTGGAGGATTAGATTCTTGACAAAGGTAGGGTTTCAAGGTCTCTGCTGTCCTGCTAATGAATAAATACTTTTGTACTCCAAGCAATAATCTTTTGAGAAAATGAGTCATGCGCTTCTCTGCTTGTAAAAATGAATATCAGGATATCTTTGGGTGGGAACAGAATCCTTCTGGTGCACCATTACCTACCTATTTGACATTCTTGCATTTAGTCTCCTCCCATACCTCAGAAAAGCTCAGGAAAGAAGGATTTCAGATGGGAAAATGTGGTGTTATTGATACTGTAGCAAAATAGATCACAGCAGCTGTCATAATGCTTGCTGTAGTAAGTCAGAAACACAGCAAAGCAAAGTCAATTAGAAATGTAACGGAAATTGCTGTATGGCTCTGGATACCAGAAATGCATGATAGGGGACAGCAATGTGACTTTAGGTTCTCTGCCTGTTTCTCTGACTCACCCAAATTACACATGTCTATCTGGAAACGTGAGCGAAACAACTTCTATAAGTCTCGGTTAGATAAATACAATTGGCTTTACGTAAGGTTGAAAATGTTGTTAGTGGATATTCTTAGGACAAGAGAGGGACCACTCTGAGTTTTTTGCTGCAAAACTCCTTTCAGTCATTACTAAAGATGACACAAATACAACCACGTACAGAAAATTCACACATAACATGGGTTTGAATACTGCAGAAAAACCTCAGGACAAGGCCAAAGATTTAACAGGTATTTTTCAAGGTATATCATTGGGGTGATACGGTGGAACAGTGGTTAGCACTGTTGCCTCTCAGTGCCAGGGACTCGGGTTCAACTTTAGCCTTGAGCAACTGTTTGTGTGGAGTTTTCACATTGTCCCTGTGTCTGTGTGGGTTTCCATCAAGTGCTCTAGTTTCCTCCCACAATCCAAAGATGTGCAGGTTAGGGGGATTGACCATGCTATAAATTGTCCCCTAGTGTCTACAGGCATGCAGGTTAGGTCGTTATCCATGGTAAAAACCCCATGCAAGGTTACGGGATGGGTGGGATGCTCTTCAGAGGGTC